CCGCTTGATGTAAGCTGCTTCTCGCCGCTCAAGCGGGCGTACGGACGTGAGATCGAGAAGCTCGCCCGCCAAGGCGTCTACCACATTGACAAGATAGACTTCCTTACAGTCTATCAACAGATCCGGCCAACAGTATTCACGCAGCAGAACATCCAGGCAGGCTTCCAGGCGACAGGCCTTGTCCCTCCTTGTCCAGATCGCGTCCTATCGTCGCTTACAGTGGCTAGGACACCGTCTCCACCACAGACAACTACAGACAATAACGCCGCTATGCAGACAGCAGCAGCGCAGACAGAGACGCCACAAACAGTAGCAGAGCTTCAGCAGAAGGTGCGCTATCTCCAAGAGCGGCTACGCCGGAGATCAGAGAGCCCAACAAGCGTTATGATACGCCAGCTTGCTAAAAGCGCTTAGCTTGCAATGCAAACAGTAACAATACTTACAGAGGAAATTAAGAAGCTACGTAAAGAAAACCAGCGCCAACGACAAAAGCAGGAGCGGCAGCGTCAATATATCGCTTCTGGTGGGGTGCTCCGGGTCCAACAGGCTTAGCAGATCATTGCAGAGGCAGAAAGGGTGGTGATGGGGGGTGACTAGAACCAGACTGGCGAGCGACGTCAGCGCGCGCCGCCAACGTGCACGAAGTGCCACGTTTAAGGACATACTCGGACTTCATGTAAAGCTAGATAAAGAATAATATCTTTTAATTTAATTTAATTTTATTAAGTTGCTGTAGAGCAATTAAGTAGAGCGTCGCGTCAGGTTTGGTGGGGTGGGCCACTTACTGATGTGGGCCGCTTACTGATAAAACACGTTAACGTGCGGGATTAGTAAGCTAGCTAGAACAATAAGCTAGCCGCCCTACTAAACTCGACGCGACACTCTCTACAACCACTACTATACTACAACAATAACGCTCTATATAAACTTCTTATAAAGGTAGAATAAGTCTTGCTATAGTGTCTTATTATAATAATTTAAAATAATCTATCTACTCTCTTATAAAAGCGTACAATATGCTAAAATTAACGCTCTAGACACGCCTCCGCAGTATCTAGCCACGATTGTAACGGGCTGAACGCCCTTCGCCTCCCATACTCGTCTACGACCTCGTTTACTCCACCTGCCCGGCCCGATTGTTACCCTAGCAACCAGCATTGTATATAGATAGCTACGTAGCCGAG